TATATATATATATATAGCTGTACAGCGTGCACATCTGTTGAGAAAACGGTGCCTGAGAAGGACAGCTACTGCCTGCAGCCACCAGTACAACAACTCAATGACAGGTTGTGGCTGCACACAGCTACACGCCGACCCGAACTTGCACACCCCCTACAGGTACAAATGCATGCCCCTGTATGCAAATAGTCTGCATCCAAAGGTGTGCATCCGTTCCTGTTCGGATGTGCAACTTCAGGTCCCGGTGTAACCATGTCCTGTCACCTATACTAATAGAGAAAAAGCTGGCCGCACACCGTATTCTGCTGTGATAGGTTATTGAAGCTTCTACCACATCACTAGTGTCCTGTCCAATGTCTTTCTTCAGACGCTTCTGAGAGGTGCGGGGGATGCCACTGTGCCTCACTGAGATAGGTAGACGCTTTAAATCCCCCAAGAATACGCTCCATTAGCAATATTCTTTCTTTTAAAATCTCCTTGAGGGGCGGGCTTGTTGCCTTCCAAACACTGCACGATTATCGTACGATCGCGGGAATTCCCGCGATTCTCGTACGATAATCGTGCAGTGTATGGGCACCTTAAGATGAGATTTGAATTGGTCGGCGTGACATGGCCCCTTTGCATGCAATATGTTGCTTTACAGACTCCACAGCTATGAAGAGTTTTTAAGTGCTGGGACCATTATGCAGGCTGGTGTGGGCAGCAGGGGAGGGTCATCATTACAAACAAGTGCAGAGGGGACTGGACGGCGTGGGAAGGTGCTGTGAGTTAGTTCACCTTTTCATTTTTGTGAAAAGGTGAACTGAACCTTTAGGCCTCATTCACACTAGAAAAGGCCGGCGCGGGCAGCTCCCGGGAAGGTGCTGTGTGTGATTAGTATGCAGCCCCTGTCCTTCCTAGAACGCCGCCCTACGCTCACCGAAAGTGCAGGTCCGTACGTTTGTCCCGGCTCGAACGCAGACAGGATCCATCCTGTCAACGTACAAGTACAGACATCCGCACCCACACGGACGTACAGGGCGGGTGAACGTAGGGCGGCGTACGGCCGCGCACTCCCATAGAGAATGACAGGGGCTGCGTACTAATGGACAGGAAATTCTTGGAAATTCTTGGTCAAACAGTGACGGCAACCAATCAGCTGGAGCCATTGGTGGGGTATTCGGACAGCGTTTGGCTATTCTATTCTGGTAACACCCAACTCTGGTAAAGTACAAAAGCCCTGTGGGATATTTGTCCATCCATGCTGCTCGGATGGAGGAATCTGTGAGTTTTATTTTTGTTCAGCCTGCAGAATGAAAACAAAAATCTAACAGTGTATGGCCAGCTTAATGAGCTTAATGAGCTTAATTTGTTTAAAAAACAAATTAAGCTCATTAAAGAAGAACTCCGGGTAATTATTTATTAACCCTTGCAGTAGGTCTACCCCCGCACTGTAAGCGTTAACTGCTCATTTTGGTCTGGGGCTGAAAATAACAAAGTTGTACTCACCCAATCCTCGGAGATGGCTTCCCGGAGCCTGTCTCCTTCTCCGCTGCAGCAATGGAATTTCCCTTGGCATCCTCTGACGGTAGGGTTTCTGGATGGTGCAAAATCACTGGAGGCGGGGGCTTGGGTGCTGGTGGAGAGTGACGCTGCTAAGAGCTGGGTGGGGAGAGGTGTAAGGGCTCTGCATCTCACCGCCCAGCTCTTAGCAACATGGGAAGCTCTGGCAGGTGTTCCACCCAGCTCCTGGCAACCAGTGACATCATTGGTTGCCAGGAGCTCAGCGGGACGCCAGCAAGCATGTCCCAAGTTGCTAACAGCTGGGCGGGAGATGTGTATGGCCCTTACATATCTCCCTGTCTGGCTCTTAGCAACCCAGTGCGCTCTGGCTGAAAAGGGGGTGGCAGCCACACTGTAAACATTCTGCAGCATAGCGGCCATGCCACTCTGCCAGTGATACTGTGCTTTGTAAATGTGGTTTAATAAGTTATAGATGTTCATCTGGGAAAAGGAAGTGAATTATCGGCAAATCGATCCATTGTTGCTTTATAGCTATGCCCTGGAGAGGAAGTCGCCTAGCAAGTCTCCCCACTATGTGAACCCTGGATCCAGGGGCCGTAGATAGAGGCTAAAGGACAGGCATGGAAGGGCCAACTAATGTCAATACAATTAATGCCTTTCTTTTTTTTTTTCATTGAAATCTTTCCAGCAATCCAGATACTGTAGTTACAAATCCCAGTATTGTTCATTGTCTAATATTTGTTCTTCACATAGGCAATTCAGGGTTACATGCCACCCTGCCATGACTTCGGGCTTTGTTTGTTAAAGGTGACAGCAGAGCCTGCAGCCATAACGAAAACCAAGAAGATGACTTCATGTGTTTGATTTACTTTTACAGTGCCATGCTAAAAGGCTTGATTTTAGGTATTCAGTAATTTCTGTGTGCACAGTGGAGCTGTACAAACAAACAAACGTCTTCTTTTTTTTTAAGGAAAAAACTGTGTGCGTACAACTATTCCTTACCATTTATTGCACTGTGGGTAAAGAAGAAGTATTGAAGACGTTAAAAATGCTTTTTAAACCCTACAGGGCACCTAGTGCACATAGCACTTGGCCCTAGTGCCCTAGTTCAAATCTGTGCAGCCACCACAAAGCATATTAAAACACACTACTGTGCGTTGTGGTGTACTGTGTTGGAAAAAATGCTTCTTGAGCATTAGAAGCCATTTCAAAATAAATGGGTTGCCTTAATGCAATGCACGTGACACATTGCATGTCAACCCAGTGCACAGAAACAGCAAAGTGTGAATGGGTCCTTAGAGTTAAAGACAGCTGGCGTTATACAGATTTTTAAATTTACGTTTAAAAGTTGAGCTTTGTCCCAGCCTCAGCCCACTCAGTGGCCCTTTAAAGGAGTTGTAAAGTCCCAGCATATACTATCCTGTCATAACATCAGCATTGTAATAGGAATACATACTAGAGTTGTTTTTGATAATGCAATCAAAGCTTACTAGTAAAAATCCCTTTTATGTAGTGACTGCTGCCTTTCATCTGCCCATCACTCCCAGCAACCTCCTGGATTCCCAGTGTGCTTTGTGTCTCTTTCCCTGCTGCTTGATGGGATGCAATCTCGATTTTCCAAGACTATATATCCCATCATGCATTGCTTCCAGCAAGCAATAGTAATGTTACATTGTCC